CAGCAGCCTGAAGCAGAGCCAAGAGTGAGGCAGGGCCTAGCAGAAGCAGGCCGGCTCCAGCCTCCAGCACCCCGAGGGAAGATCCTGTTACCCTCAACCCCCGCTGGCCTGCTTCCACCTCAGCCTCCATCAACAGGTACTACTGGGGGGAGCTGGCGGGCCTGGCGCTGTGTGAGATGAGGCTGGCACAGGGGCTCTGCTGGAGACGGCCTCGCCGACAGAGGCCCACTCCAAGGGCAGGTCTTGCAGTGTCCATACGACTTTATTTGTAAAGCCCTGGGCACAGCCCAGGCACACAGAACACGCAGGGGAGCAAAGGCTGCGAGGAGAGGGGGAGGTCGCAGGGCGCTAACCCCCCACCCCGCCCTCGGGCTGTCCAGGAGTCCTAGAGGCCCCCACAGGGAGAGACCAGTCTGGGGTCTTGAGCCTCGGAGGGCCTGCTGGACCCAGATCCTGCACTGTCCAGGCAGCTCCTGCTCGCAGGCTCCCTGGTGTCTGCCCACAGGCTTCTCCTGGCCACACGGCGTGGGTGCCAGGGTCTTGCTCCTGGCTGACCACCCACATATCACTTGGTCTGTCTCTGCCTTTAGCCAAGAGGGGTTCAGCAGGGAAAGAGGTGGGGGATGGTAGAGGCAGGAAGCAGAGGCCTCAGCAGGGCAGGAAATGGCCTGGCCACAGGGCAGGGGGGAGCAGCAGGCAGCTCCAGAGCTGGTGCAGCCCAGAGTGTGCGGAAGGCAAGGTGGGGGCGGGGCAGCCCCGGGCCAAGCCTGAGGCACATCAGCAGAGCCCTCAAGGGGAGAGTTTAATGGCAGAGCAGCTGGGAGCCTTTCGAGGCCCAGGCGAGCCAGCAGGAGGCCCTGAAACCCAAACCCCGCAGCAAGCACACCTCGGCACACCCCCCACGCTGACCAGACTGGGGGTGCTGCACGACCTCACAGAGACCCTTCCTGCCTCTGGCCAGGGTCCTTCACGGGAGGCTCTTCCCGAGTCCAGGCCCAGAGACAGGAGTGGCCGCTGGCATCTAGACCTTGTACAGCGTCTGCAGCAGGTTGTGGCGGGCAAAGGAGCAGGATTCCAGGGCGCCGTTGGGCCTGCAGGGAAGAGGGTCGGGGTTGGGGCTGGGCTCAGCGCCAGGCGGGCGAGGTCTGGGCTCAGGAGAAGGACGGGCTGGTCCTGTGTTTGTTGACACGGCACTAGACTTCTAGTGCTCACAGTGACTTGGCAGGGTGGGGAGGCGCCTGGGGGCGAGCGGAGGGGAGCAGGGGGCAGGAGAGAGACAAAGGGAGCCAGGCCTCTTGGGGTGGTGGGCGCTTAAGGCTGCAGCTCTGTGACCCTGACTGGGGGCCGCCCTGGCGAGGAGGACTGTTCATGTGGCCCCAGTTAGCTGCTGGGGGCCGAGGTGCCCCTCACTTCCGCGACAGACTGTGGCGCCCGCACTGATGGCAGCGGGCCTTGCACACGTTGCCGGCGCAGGGACTCTGCTCCGCCTGCCCTGCTGTCCCCGAGGCTGGGCTCACTGGGACGACGTCTGATGGGGGCTGCTGGGGCCACACAGGGCCTCAGGGAGGGCAACAGAGGCCTGGCATCTCTCAGGGCCACTGGCTCTGTAGGCTCTTCACTGACCGAGGACATTGGCTCGGCTTCCCCATGACTCGGACACTTGCTGTCCACAGAGAGGGCCTGCAGCTTGGGATGGCCAGCGTGACTAGTTCCTATTGGTCTAGGTGGCTGTGGGAATGGACAAAGTTGCCCCGAGACGCGGCCACATAAGCGCCTCCATCAGCAGCCTCACCGAGGTGCTCGTCTCCTAATTGGGGAAATGGGGCATCTCCCCCACCTCAGGAAAGACAGTGCCGAGTGCTGTGCCCTCAGCTGGGCACAGGCAGAGAGGCGGGGAGCCAGGCGAGGCCTGGGGAGCCTGCGTGGCCACACTCACTTGGTCACAAAGGCCAGCAGCAGAGGGGCCAGTGCCTTGGGGAAGTAGTCCTGCTGCACCATGTGGTTCAGGGCCATCAGGGGGCCGTAGAGGTTGGCGATGGCCTTGATCTTGTCTTCACTCTGCAAGGTGAGCACAGGGCAGAAGGCGGGCAGAGGTCAGGATCCTGGAGGCCCCAGGCTCCACCACAGCCCCACGGTGAAGGTCACGCGAAGGCCCCGGGTGGGGCGCAGCTGCCCCCAGCGCACCTTGAGCAGACCCATGTGGACGAGGAGCCTGGTGAGGAAGGCGTTGGAGTTGAAGGACGAGGAGCTGAAGGCCTTCTTCATCAGAGCATCTGCAGAGCAGGATCAAAGGAGCGTCATGGCAAGGGCTGGTCTCAGCCGGGGGTCACGCGGCCCGGCACAAAGCCAGATGCTGCCTCCTGTCAGGAGGTGGGCGCGGGCGCGGGGACGGGGGGCACGGCGTGACGCTCCAGCCTCCCCGCCCTGGCCGCTCATCTAAAAAGGGCTTGGGGCTCACACAGCCGGGCAAGAGCAAGGCTGAGGGGGCGACTGGGAGGGAGCGCAGGCCTTCGCGTCTGTGCCGGGCTGCACTCGATTTTGGCTGACTTGTTGCCACAAAGGCCTGTGGGTCTGGGCTCTCGGGCAGCCTGGGGTCCCCACTGGCTGCGTCCGTGGCCCCAGGGAGCCGATCCTGAGAAGGCGTCACGGGCTTCCTCCTCCCCACCTGCCTCTGGCTCTGCCTCCCTTCAGCCCTGGCTCCCCTCAGGGCCACGCCGGCCGTTCAGACACACACCAGTGGGTCAGGAACCAAGAACAGGAGGCCGGCAGGGCCTGACAGGGCTCCGGACTGGGGGTGTGCGGGGCAGGCAGAGGTCCCCCCAAAGCCTTGTGGACTGTCGGGAGGAAGCAGGCACACCACACTGCCCAGTCAGACTCCACTTGGACTCAGCTGCAGGACAGCCCTGGGGCTCCCAGTCATCATCCCTGCCGCTGCGCCCCGCCTGGGCAGAGGTCACCCGAGCCCGGCCAGCCCACGTTACCCACGGCGTCCTGCACTGCTGTCCGCACGGAGGCTTCGTCCTTGAACGCAGAGGACACCTTCAGGAAGGCCGAGACCACCTTCTCCGGGTCAGACGTGTCAGTCTGAGGACGCGGGAGACAGTGGCCAGTCAGCAGGGCCTGGGTGCTGCTGCTGCCACAGAGGCGCTGGCAGGCGAGGCCTCTGGCGGGGAGGGCGGTTGCTGACAGACGCCCCCAGTGGCCTAGCGCCCCCCACTCTTCCTCAGGCACAGATGCACTCAGAAGCCCAGAGGCTCTGCCACTCAGCAGCTCAGAGAGAAGCAGGACAAGGCAGACCCCAGAGACTGGCTCAGTGCGGGCTAAGGGGGCTTCGCTGATGCAGAGGTGAGGGGCAGACTTGGGGGGGGGGCAGCGTGTTTATGTCACACAGTCTGGCTGTGCAGCAAGGAGCAGGGGGGCAGCCAGAGCGCTCCAGGGGGAGGGCACCGAGCACAGGCGACCAGGCCTCCCTGTTCCACCTGTCACAGGGCTGATGGCACCCAGTTAAGGGAGAGCAGCCTACAGCAAGGGCCTCGACCACCCTTGGGGGATGAGGGAGTGAAGAAGGAACCGATGGTCAAGAGGCGGGGGCAAGAGTGGCCCCCCTGCATCCCCACAGGGCTCTGGCCAGACAGCAGGGGCAGGGGGTGCTCTGAACCCGCAGAGGGACGCCTGGAGGTGTGCACAGGAGAAGCCCAGGCTCCAGCCTGGGTGTGGTGTCGGCGGGCACGGGCGTCTGTCCAGGCCGAGGGTGGCCAGCACCCGTCACACCACGCACGTTTGGAGCCCCACACTGCAGCCCCCCCTCACGATGGCGGCCTGGCCCGCGGCCTCCTGGGAAGCGCTACCTGCTGGGCGATCAGCACAGAGCTCTTGGGCCCGAGGCGCAGCAGCTTCTCCGGGGAGGGGAAGGCCATGAAGGTGGCCACGTCCACGGGAGGCGGCGGGGACAACACCGGAGCCGGCTCCTGCGCAGGGGACCGGACACGTGCCCCTCAACATCACGGCCGAGGGAGGATTCTCCCACCCGCCTCATGCAGCTCCCCACGGCGGGGCCGACGCCAACTCCGGCACCTCCCCAGGACTGGCACAGCCTGGCCAGCTAGGTGGGCCCTCGCCGCTGGTGGGCACCGGAGGGGCCTCAAGACGAAACACCCCACAGAACACGGCACCGCTGCATTGCCTCCCCGTGCCAGGCAGCAGCCGCGCGGACGGGTGGCCCGGGGCGGCCTGTGCAAACGCGTCCGGATGCCCAAGCGCTCCCATGAGGGACCCGCCTCCGGGCCAGCGAGGGACACCAAGGACATGTGGGGTCACGGTGCCGGGCAGTGTCGGAGTGGGGGCTGGCCCCGCAGACCGCCAAGGCGGCCCACCGTGGGCAGCAAGAAACGTCCTCTTTGCCTGTGTGTGAGCTGCTCCTTTAGGCGTGGCAGCCTCGGGTGCCAGCCTCGGGTGCCAGCCTCGGGTGCCAGCCGCGGCTGTGCCGCCTCCGGGTGGGAAGAGCTGCTCCGAGGCCCGCGCAGCACAGCTGTGTCTGGCCACCTTCTGTGCCTACGTGGCTCCGTGCCCGCCCTCCCGTGAAGGCGGCTCGGGTCTGCACGTCAGGGCCAGAGCTTGGGGCCGGCACACGCGAAGGACTCACCCCACTGTTAGGGTCCAGAATCTTCCTGGATGGTGTACTGGATGCCTCCCCTTGCCCTTGCTGCTGAGGCTCTTCTTCCTCCTCGCCCTCTTCCTCCTCGTCCTCCTCCTCCTCGTCCTCCTCCTCTTCGTCGTCGTCCTCTTCCTCGTCATCCTCCCCTTCATCATCACTGCAGAGGGCAGCAGCTGAGGCCGGCCGGGGACTCCCTGTCTGCGGCTCACGGCCCAATGTGCGGGGCGCAGCTGTCTCTAGGTGGGTGCCCCGGGTCGCTGGGCCTGTCACGTGCTCCCCATCACCCAGGACACGCAAGAAACCTGCCCCAGGGCCTTTCACTTGCCCTGGGCTCTGGGCCTCTGGGCCCACCTTGGCAGCCCGTTCCCAGCAGCAGCACCCCCGGTGTGACAGGTGAGTGGCGGAGAGCGGAGGCCCGAGGGAGGCGGTGCCGATGGCAGCCCCGAGTCCCATCCAGACGGAGGAGACCCGCCTTCCCGCGGGCGCTGCAAACCCTGGGGTCCCCACGCTCGTGACGGTCTCTCCCAGAATCATTCTCTCATTTCAAAACCAAGCCTCGTCCACTCGCCCACTCTGTCGCTGCCCTGGGCCCACTGTTGGCAGCAGGTCCCTCTTATCTGCTGCGAGCCCTTCGAGGCCTGCCCAGCTCTCCGCTCTCCAGGCTCCACCCACTCTGCCCGAGTGTCCTGCTGCTGGACATAGGGCTTCAAGAGTCCGTCTCACCCTGACCCCTCGCCCACTGGAACCAAGTCCCCTGTGAGTCAGAAACCGCAACTGTCTCGTTCTCCTGTTTCGAGCCTCGCGCAGTGCCTGGCTCGAGGACATGAACAACAGCTTCAGCGCCTCATCCCCAGCTCCTTACCTGAGGGACGCCAGCACCTGGGCCATGGTGAAGCCCTCCAGCACCTCCTGCAACTGCTCGCAGCCTTCTTCACCCAGGGCGTTGCCTGCTCATGGGGGAGGAGGGGTCAGGACTCGCATCAGCGCCAGCCAGCAGGGCCGTGCCCCAGCCACCCGCCCTCACCATTGAGGTCCAGCTTCTCCAGCTCCGACTTGTCCGCCACGGCTTCAGCCACGGCCAGAGCAGCATCTTTCTTGATTTCACAGAATGACAAGTTCAGCTCCTACAGACAGACCGGAGAGGCAGCTGAGACGTGGGCTGGGAGGCCAAGCCCTACCCTGAGTTGTTTCCCCAAGCGAGGGTGAGGCCGGCCCCGCCTGCCGGCCACGCTGACTGCCCCGGCTAGTGCCCTCCTCCCCCTACAAAATGAAGGCCCTGGGGCTGAGAAGCAGAAAGCCTCACGCCAAACCAGGGCACAGATGGAAGCACAGGGCCACAAACCCAGGCCCATCCCCTAAGAGTCACCCAGCTGCGGGGGCCTAGGCCTGAGGGCAGCTTGGCACCTTCAGCTTGGGCAGGCCCCCACGGACAGCTTCTGCGATGGCCACAGCACCCTTGGAGCGCACCAGGCAGTCCCCGAAGTTGATCACCTCCACCTGCCGCAGAATCTTCAGGGTCTGCGAGGAAAAAAAGGCCAGGAGAGGCTGAAGATCTCACCCCAGGGCCCACAGCCATCGCCGGGCCGAGTCAGTCATCACGCCTTGACTCTTCCGCGTCAGCCCAGCCTCCTCAGCACCCCTTGGCTCTTCTGGCCTTTGGCCGCCGCACCCTGCTTGCACCGGGTTTCAGCCAGAACCTTTTCCCGAAGCAGCATCTGACCAGTCCCATCCCCGCTTAAGAACCCTCCCAGCTCCATCCTCACGGGAGAGCCAAGAGGCGCTCACGAAGCCACCAGGTCGTGTGTCCTCCCGCCATCTCCTCCTTCCCTCGGCACGCCTCAAGACCAGGAGGACGGGGCCAGGCGCCCGCCCGTGGGTCTTCCTGTGTGCTCCCTCCTCACTGAAATACTCCACCCTCTTTGTGCAGAGGCGAGTGCCCCTCTCCCATACGAGGTGACAAAATGTGGCCACTCCCAGGAAGCCTGCCCTGAGCCTGACGTGGACTTCCTGTGAACCCCAACACCCAGGCCGCCAGGGCATTCAGGGGCCTGCACTGGCACCAACCTGCTCCCCAGCCCCGCCATCAACTGGGCTCCTGTAATGCAGAGCCTCTGACAAGCCTGGGGGCCGCCCTGGGCACAGGGCTGGGCGTGGAGAGACTCAGTGATGTGGATGCATCAGTCAGCGAGGAAGACAGCCCTGGAGAGCAAACCCAGCGTGGACAGCCGGGCTGACGAGGGAGGCAGCTGGCGTGAAGGAGCAGGGCCTCAGCTGCCCGAGGATGGGCTGGCTGGGGACACGCCAGCCCGTCGTGGCTCCCGCACCCTCCTCACCTTGGCCATGGCCACAGCGCCCTTCTCGGTGAAGGTGTTGTCATTCAGGTTGATGACCCGCAACAGGGGATTGATGGCAAAGGCCTGCGCCAGGGCAGTAACGCCGGGGTGGTTGATCCCGTTCTGGGGCATGTGGACCTCCTCCAGCGTCCCGATGATCTGGGGGCAAGGAAGGAGAGCAGAGCCGTAGGCGCTGGGCACCAGGCCCGCAGGGGCCACCCCAGCACAGAGGACTGGTCTACTAGCGCTCTGGGCGGGGATCCCAGAGCACAGTTTGGGCCACAGAAGCCCCTGATCTCAGCCTCATGCCCTGCCCACTAGAACCCAGGCCCAGGCTGGGGTCACCCGGCAGCAGTCAGCACCCACTGCCCCGCGGACGCCACTCCCCGCTCAGGCAAGCCCCCTAACTTCCCAGGCAGTGCTGCAGGGGCCGTGGCCCATTCCCGTGCGGGGCCCTGCCCGCAGGGTGCGCTCCGGAGCTGGCACACATCCAGGCCTGCTGGCTGGGAGGGGCAGAACCACTCACCCCAAAAGCTTCTGCCAAGGCAGTGGCGCCATCATTCTCTAGACGGTTTCTGCCAGCCACGAAGACTTTCAGGGCCAGCGGCTTGCCTTGGGCACTGGACTTTCGATGACATTCAGTCAGAGCTGTGGCCAGGATCTGTGGGGTAAGGCCAGGGCCCAGACAGGCCCTGCTCTTCAACACCATGTTGGGCAAAGGGACAAAGATCATCACCTACTGCTTTACTCTGTCTGTGCCCCACCGGTCTGTGGGGTTCAGCTTCATGTAAGGATGTGGGGACCGAGGCCAGAGGGACAGGAGAGACCACAATGAGGGGGTGACCGAGGTTCGGTTCCAGTTGGCTCCCCTTACTGTCACACATGCTGTCAGGTGGAGACCACCCCACCCCCATTTTCCAGCTGAAGAAACTCAGGTTCAGAGGGAACGAGCAGTTTCCATGATCCCAAGGGGGCGGCAGAAGCCCAGCTCTCTTCATGCTGCGTCACGGCACCGGGGCTGGGGAGGAGGCCGCAGCACCAAGCCCAGCTGCCCAGCTGCCACACCCCGCAGGCCTCTGTGGCCAGGGGTGAAGCCCAGCGCCCCACTTGTCCTGTCTTGTGCCAAGGGGGAGCTTCCACCCCAGTGGTGCCAGCGGCACCAGAGTTCCAACTCGGAAGGTGGCACGAGAGCCCACGGCAGAGGCTGCAGCAGGAGCAGGGAGCAAGGAACCAGCACTGGCGGGACGCCTGCTAGCGGTGAGCACCCTCAGCAGCCCCTGGCGCCTCCGCAGACCAGACCCGACGGAGCGCCAGCCAGGAGCCGCCACCCACGGTCAGTCCGGCAGGAGCTCGGTCGCTGAGCCCCACCAGGCCCTGATACGTGATCCAGGGGCAGCAGCACCCTTCCAGCGGGGGCGGGGAGCCAGGGCGACACACGTGAGACACGGCAGACGGCCCCCAGGCCAGCCCTTCCGGGCCGTTTGCTCAGGCAAGGGGCAGGGTGGGGGGGGGGGGGGGTTCCCCAGTGTCGGGCTACAGGAGTGGGCTGGCGGGATGAACAGCTGCCTCCCGGGTCTGCATGGGCAGCCTGACTTGCTGGTGGGACGGGAGGCGGCCCAGGCCAGGTCCAGTCCAGGATGGGGGCGAGCCACGAGCTCGCGGCCTGCCTGAGGGTCCCTCCCCTGGGCTCTCGGCCCCCGCCTCAGCACACCCAGTGCTCAAGCGGCTCTGCCAGCTGGTCTGAGGGTGCAGCAGGTCTCATGATGCCCCGAGCCCACATTTTGCAGCGCAGGCAGGTCAGAGCACAAACCCACTACTGCCTCCGTGTTGCCAAGGCAACGCCAGAGCTAGAGAGGTTGCTTAGCAACCCCGGCCTCCTAGACTCCTAGACTCCAGGCTGCAGTCTTTGAGGCCTTTCATTTAAAGAGAAAAACAGATCTACCCTCCCTGCCAGGAGGCAGCCAAGGGCAGGTCTGCAGATGGGGGCGAATGTGGCAGGGACACATGGGGGGGGAGCCACACCCACCTTGCCTCCACCGATGCCCATGCCACAGTTGTTGAGCTTGAGTTCGTGCAGGGTGAAGCAGGCAGAGCTCTTGAGCAAGGCCTCGAAGCCTCGCACGCCGTCAGGCCCGAATGCATTGTCACTGAGGTCCAGCTCCACCAGCTGGGCCCCGGCCATGATGAGTCCCTCCCCGAGTGAGATCTGGGGACAAAGGCAGTGCGCTCACAGCCTCACCGGCTCCTGGGGGCTGCTTCTGTGCTGGCCTCCAGCTGCACGGGCCGCCCAGCCTGGTGCGGCTGACAGGCGACTTCAGGACAAGTGTTCACAGAAGCACACCCAGCACTGAAGAACCCACAGAGGGCCTCTAATTTAGCTGGGGTTGGGCCAGGTGGGGGGGTCATCAGGGAAGGGAAGTCGGCTCAGTCTGGGTAAGCATCAGGCAGCAGGTGTGAGGTGACGCCATCACAGGAAAGGCAACGGGGAAGTGGACTTAGGAGGTAGCATGTGGAACGTGGGGGTGGAGAAGCAGGCTGCTGCAGCGGGGGCACCACCGACACTGGGGTGTGGGAGGGAGGCACCCCTGATGCCTCCAGGGTTCTGAGGCCTGTTTCCAAGCTACAATCCATGATCAGACTTTGCACGAAGATGTTGGGACTACTGGATTGGGGATCCCTACAGCCCCTCAAGAGAGTGGGCAAGGAGAGAATGCTTGCTCAAGACTTGGGGCAGAAATGGGGCAGAGGCTCTGTAGGAGAGCCCGGGAGAGGAGTCAGGGTGGCTGAGCAGTGCCCACACCCCGCCACGAGTCAACAACACTGGCTTAACGGGGAAGCCCCAGAGGGGGCCCGGGCCCTGGTAAACTGGCACCTGACCTCCCACCTTCAACCCCCATGGCTGCACCCCCTTCCTGCATGCCAGGCCTCCCGACCCCACTTCCCGCACTCCCCCTTCCTAAGACTCATGGAGATAAGGACACTCACTCCTTCAAAGCCTGAGGAAATCAAACATTCACATTTCAGAAGAACAATAAGCACAAAAAAGGCTCCAACAAGTAAATCCAACTCACCCTTTTTTCTAACTTCAAATTCTCTTACCCACAGTTACGCGAGAGAACCGCTCGTGACTGAGCGCCCCCAGGCCCGCTGGCTCTGCGCTCTCCAGAGCCCTGCCCGCGGCCGGAAAGAAGCCTGCGTGCCCTGGGTGGCGCTCAAATGTCTGCTGCACTGAGGTGCCTTTCAAACAAGGCCCAAATGAGCCACAGACTGTCCCAGCGTGCCCTGCCACACACACTCCCACACACGTACACGCACCAGAGCCAGGGAATGGGGAAATGAAAAACAGAGGAAGCCCACGGTGAGGGCCAAACCAGAGTGCGGTGGGGAGGGACAGGCAGGAGGGAGGCGAGGCCAGCGACCAGGACCTCAGGGTGCCGGGCAGGAAGTGCCAGGACCAGAGGGGTGCAAGTCAGGAAGCCAAACCTGTACTCCCGGCCACACCCTTGGCTGCCACGGCACCTGACTCCCCATCAGCACCTGGGCGCTCCCTGCCCCCAGACACGTCCCAGGGCTGCAGTCTCGCCTGCTCACTCACCAGGGCGGGAGGGATCTCGGAGCGCAGTCTCCCCGTGAACATGTCACTCCAGTGGCATCGCTTTGGGAGCAGAAGAGAGGAGTTAGTGAGGCCCTCGGAGGCAGCCTGCAGGCAGCACCTTGACCTTGAAGTCATAGTCTCCCGAGCACGAGATCTTAGTTCAGGCTTCTCAGCCAGAAGCTGGGGGGATCTGGAGGGCCCAGGGCCGCGGGGGGCTCAGTAGAGTCAGGAAGACCCCTCATCTGCCTAGCCCCTGATTTTCCAGGAGGTAAGTCAGGCTGCGGAAGCCTGGCCGCGGGCGCCCTGGCAAAGCAGCAGTAGCGCCAGGACAGTGACACCAGTCTCCTAGCCCAGCAGCCAACCAGCCTGCCCCGATGTGGTGTTGGCCACAGCGACAGGTGACCGGTGCTAGCAAATGCAGAGGGCAGAAGCCAGGGGCCCGGCAGCGAGGGAGTCCCTGCATGACAGCCTCTTCAACCGCAGGGCCGCCGCTGCCAAGACTGACCAGCACTGCACTGGGCCGATAACCTCTTATCTCGCATCTTTCCTGTGCCCAGAACACCCCAGGGCACCCGCCCTGCCCTCACCCTGGTCCCTCCTGGCACAGCAGCAGGAGGCTGACTCCAGGGGCTGGGCCTCAAGGGGGTACAGTGGGCACTGGACACAGCTTGCAGCTGGCCCCTGACGCAGGAGGGCACCTTCCTGGGCTGCCTTCCCTGGAGGAGCCCAGACCATAGCTGAGTTTAGTGCAAAGCCAGACCACAAACAGGTCACGGCGCTAGGGCTCGGGCCGGGCTCCGAGATGCCAAAGCTCAGCCCCCACCGCCCACAGGCCCCGGCAACATCTCCCCCGGCAGGCAGCTGGGGAGGGTCGAGTTCTCCAGCAGGGAGCACCAGCTCATGTCAAGGAGAGGAGAGCAGAAACAGCACGGCCTGACCATCCTCTTCCAGAGGAAACAAACATAAGGGTCACTCTGTAGACCAGCCACGGCCCTCAGTGCGGAGGGGTTCCACGTCCTTTTCTCAGGCCCTGACTGTCTGGCCCTTCAGAAAGCGCAGGGGCCACAGGAGTCCTGGCTCAGGCTTCCAGACTGCGCTACTGACTCCCTCAAGCCTCGGGCCTCGACTTACAGTGTAGAAAGTCTGTTCCTGAGGTCACTGTGAGGACTCCAGACACAAGGAGAGCACAGCACAGGCCTAGAACCACTTCCAGGGGAAAACAGGTCGCCCCCAGAGTCTTCAGGGTTTTGACAAGTTTACATACACTGGGGTTCTCAGGAGATGAGCTGGCATCCCACATTTTGAACATGTGATACCCCGATTTTCTGACAGAGCCACTGGAGGGCTGTATCTTGGCGGAACCCACTTGGGGACAAACCAGAATGTCTGTGTCGGCCAAGAGGTGGGCACCCCGGGACGTAAACTTAAGAAAGAACTCAGAGCAGTTAGCAGGCTGCCTCCAGCCACAGCGCCTGAGCCAGGCCTGCCCGACAGGGGGGCTGGGAGGTAAGTGCCAGAGCTCCCCCGCCGGCGCCCGGCGCTGCGTCACAGGCACCCTGCCTGTTCTGCTGCTCCCGCTGTCTCCATGTTACTGAATGAGGCCCTCACCTCCTAATACCACTGCTGAGTCTGGTACTGCAGGCCCCTCACAGAGGCCTCACGCGGGGAGGGGCCTGCCCAGGGCCGGACGCTGCGGGCACAGGCAGGCCGTGTGGGCGGAAGCCTGTTGCCCCACCGGGTTGGGCGCGCAGCTCTCACCTTCAGCTCCGCCTTCTTCTCCAGGGCCTTGGCGATGACCCTGGCCGCCTCCACGCCCACCGTGTTGCCCTCCAGGCGCAGAGCCTCTAAGCCTTCGAAGTCTTCAATCTCCTTAATCACGTCTTTGGCTGCTCGGGACCAAAGAACAGAAGCTTAGCCTTAGACGCTGGCATCACGCAGGCGCGAACACGGCCACCCTGTGCCACTCACGACTCCAGAGGCTGACAGAGGTGAGTCAGGCAGCCGCCAGAGGGCCGGGAGCCAAAGAGCAAGACAACCTGCTGCCGAGGCGGGCATGCTCGGGGCGTGGTAGGCGGGGCCCTGGGCAGGCCCGCACCAGGCCAGCGGGGACATGGCACCCAGATCAGAAGGCCCCCGGGCACTCTGGCACGAAGCCTTCGGGCTGAGCGACTCAGACGTGTGTGGCTCCTTACTGTGTTATGCTGAGGAGCCCTAACAAGCTAAATGGCACTCAGCAGAGGCCAGGCTGCCAGTATTTAGTTCATGGGGCGCGTGTGTGACACTTGAGTCATCTGAGATACAGGTGCTGGATGAAAAAAACGCATGTTACATAGTAGGTGTCTTACTCAGGTCAGAAAACACGAGGCGGTGTGGGCTGATCACACTGGTAAAATGCTGTATGTATTCCGCCCCCCCAACAAGACCTAGGAGGATGAAATCACCTCTTGGAGGTGGCAGGGCAATGAGTGATCCCGGATTTCCCGCAGCCTTCAGTAAAATGTTCTCAATATGTCAGGTTTAAAGCAGCATTTAAAAGTATCTATAACATGATCCTCATTATTTTTAAAAACAAGCAGTCATATTCATAGTCATAGTCCCTCTATGCTTAGGGGGAGAGAAAGACCAGAAAGAATATACACCAGAATCCGAGGCAGCCGGAACAGAGGGGGAGAGGGAGAGCACACCCCGAAGCTGACTGTGGGGTCACGGTTTTCCCTTCCTCAGTGACTCTGCAGACTGACGAGCATGTCAATTGGCAATCTGAACACAAATGCCCAAGTTACACGAAACAAAACAAAAAGCTGGTGAGGCCGGCAAGGGATGGCGGGGCGCAGTGGCAGGCAGAGGGGGGACCTCGCTGCTGTCCAGGTGTGGCGCCCTCAGAGGCGGCCGGAAGCGGGGCGCACACTGGCTCCCAGAGCCAGACAAGCCTGCCGAAGCCCTGCTCCCCTAGCTGCGGCCAAGCCGCAGGCAGGTCCTACACCTCCCTGGGCCCCTACTTTCTAGTCTGCAAATGGGGGTGACACCTAGCTCCAGGGCTTTTGTGAGGATATTCTGAACAACACCTGCGGGACAGTGAACCCTCCGCCCAGCAGTGCTGAGTGAAGATAACGTCATAGCGAACCACGTCTCCTGACGGCGCTTGTCTACTCAGAAGCACAGGAACAGAAGGGCAGTTGGCCCCCCGAAGCCTGCCCTGCTGCCTCCAGTGCACGAGCGGCAGGCACTGCAGTCTCCAAGTCCCTCTTCCTTACTTATAAAACAGCCGCTCTCGCGGGGAGCAAAAGCGACCAAAGCTCAGGGAGCGAGGCTGTCATCACTGAGGCCGCATGGTTACGTTAAGGGCGTCACCACGCCCCCTGCAGCCCAGGACTCAAGCCCTGAGCCCGAGGGAGGAAGCCTGCCTGCGTCCTGAACAACAGGGTGAGGTGAGACCAGTTTCCCTGGTTGGGCTGGAACCTCCACCGCCCTTCAAGTACTGACATAAGTGCCTTCACTCCCCGAAGCCCGGGGACCCAGGTTGGCCAATGCCCAGTGTGCCCCTGCCAGAAGTGGAAAGCTAGGGCCTGCGTCTGCTTCTCTCCAGTCCATGTGCCTTACACAAACAGGAGCACCCTCCCCGCACAGGGGCACCAGGCTGCACAGACCAGAACCTCCCAGGAGGGCCCGGATGTTGTCCTAATGCAGATCCATGACCCTCAGCTCAAGGGCAGGCAACAGGTATTCCCAGACCAGCTTGGAGTCATGGGGTACAGGAGTGGGTGGGCCTGAAGTAAAAGGGCTGTGTCGGAACTGCCACTCACTGTGGCCCTTCACTGCCTAGCATCACCCCCTCGAAGAGGTAACAGTCCCCCTGCCAGCCTGAACTGTCACCACGCAACACCCATGAAACGGCAGGTAAATTACCTTCGAGACTCACTGCTAGGGGGGCTCGCCGGTACCTCAGAGCTGCTAGGACAGAGCTGGTGAGGCGGGCACTGAAGGAGCCGATAACCAAGAAGAGTGGGTACACCCTGTCACACTCCCTTGCTGCCCGGGGCCACCAGGGCAGAACTCACCGTCTTCTGCAGTGTTGAGTTTGAGGCTCTTGCCCTTGAAACTCAGCTGTCCCCCGGCCACCTGGGTCTTGGCCAGCGTCTCTGCCAGCTTGGCAATGTCTTCAGAGGCCATGTTGGTCGTGCCAGTGGGCTCCGTCGGAGAGCTGCAAACTGGTAAGGCCGAGGTTCCATTAGTGAGGTTGCACCTCTCCCTGCTATGAAGACCCCCGAGAGCTAAAGCACAGAAGAAGTGAAAACACCATTGGGGAGGGAACCGCTGAAAGGCAGTGCAGGTAACAAGAAAATCGTATTTGGCCTTCGAAGGGTCTCTGTGTCCCCACAAGTCCTCCTGTCTACCCAGCGGCCCACGGGGACACCTAGCAAAATCATGTGAGTTGCCTGTTTTCTGAGCCCCCAGTGAAAGGCAACTGAGCCCCAGAACCACAGCTGCAAAGATCCTGCCCCCACACACACCTGCCTGGTCATCCTGGCTGCTGTCTGTTTCAGGGCTCCACCCCTCAAACTGGACACAGATGGCTACAGGATCCAGGCCATCCATTCCAGGGTATGCCCCACCGCCCAAGCTGGCATGACTCTGGGGCGGGGCACGGGGTCAGTCTGCTGTGAGCCTTGGCTAGGAGACTGGGCAACCTGGGTGGCTGGGGTTCAGGGGTTCCTAGGAGACCAAGGGTCTCCACATGACAACAGCCTCATCACAATAGACCAGGGGCAGTTACTGGAAGAGGGTGTCCAGCCTGGAACTCGGCAAACTGGCAGAAAGGACACTCCCCTTCTACCAAGAGGAGACGCAGGGGGCAGCATGGGCAGGTGCCACAGACTCCTCCACCCTCCATGCCTCCTCCCCTCCCCACAGGCGTCCTCAGGGCTCAGACAGGGGCTCCCCACCCTCTTCTCCTTCTGTAAACCTTTATCAGACACACATTCTGGGGGAGGAGGCGCCCACCACTCATCCACAGACACTGGGTACCACCTGGGACAGCACTCCGGGGCGGAGAGCAGTGAGTGGAGCCGTCCCTGCCCACCTCAGCATGTCTTACACTGTGATGAGAACAGAAATGATCAGGGAAGGGGGTAAGGACTTAGCAAGGTCCGACTCAAGCCAAAATAGAAGCTATTTTCAGAAAAGAACAAAGACTTGAGGGGGCCATGCGGATTTCTGGGGCAAGCACCCTAGGAAAGCAAGGGCTCCGGTGGCGGAAGGCACCCAAGGGCGGGGCGAGGGTGGGCCACTGGGGCCCTCAGCCGGCCTGGCCATTTCTGAGTGACACGGAGAGCCACCGGGCAAGGGGCTACGACCTGGTGGGACGGCGGCTCTCCTGTGCATGCAGCGGCTGGCCCTGGGAGGGGCTGCGCCAGGCAGGGCCGCGCAACAGTCCGTGACAGCCCAGCGCAGCGGTGAATCGATGTGATCAAGGTCTCAAGGGGTCAGCGCGCAGCCGGGACAACGCAAATAAACACGAACCGGCTCCCCCGGGCAGGGGCGCCGCGCCACGGTAGGTGCCCGGCCGTCGCTCGGCGAAGCCTCAGTGACTCACGCCGATCCCCGGGGCTGCGGCGCCTGCCAGGCCTCGGCGGGGGTGGGCCTGCGGGAGGCGGCGGCAGCCGGGCAGACGCGGGCGGCGGTGACAGGCGGGCGGCGCGGTCGCCCCGCTGGGGTCTCCAGGGCTCGCACCCCTGCAGGTGATACCGATGCCACAGGTGACGGCAGCGCTGGCAGCTGCGAGCAGGGCGGCCGCCACGCCCTCTCTGAGCCTCAGTTTCCCCACTCGTGAGAGGGGCCAGCGCCCCCCGCCCTCCGCCCTGGCCCATCCGAGCGCAGGAAGGAGGCCCAGAAGGCGGCGCACCGTCCTCGCCCAGTGCCAGGGCCGCGCCGCCCCCGCCCGCCCCCGGCAGGTGACGGCGAAATGAAAGGGACCCCGATCCTACCGTACACGGGCGGCGCCGCCGCGTGGGGCGACCGGGGCGCGCGACCGCCCGGCGGGGCGGGCACTGGTTAGGGTGCGGGTCAGGCCCGGGTCGCCGCTCCGAGGCCGGCCGTTCCGATGCCCCGCCCACGGGCTCGTCAGCTCTCCGGGCGGTCCTCGCCCCTGGCGTCCCCGACACCACCTGCTCCTGCACGGCGGCGGATGATGGCGGAGGAGGAGGATTTTGAAAGCCGGCAGTTTCTTTCCTTCGATTTGATTTGTTCGAGGCCGGGCCGGCTTCCCCTTCCCCCCGAGCGCGCGGCCTACCGGGTATGGTAGTCCTGTTCCCTGCGGCGGCCGCGGCGGGAGCGTGCCCGCGAACTACCGCTCCCGTGATGCACCGCGCGCAGAGCGCCGGCGGAGGCGCTCTCGGGCTCTCCCCCTTCCACGCGCTCTTCCTCTGGAGACCACAGGGTGGCGCGTAGCCGCGAGCCCAAGGGAGACTACAACTCCCCAAATGCCTTGCGGCGGGCGGTCTCAGCCCTTCCGGAGAGGGTCATACACGTCACTCTGTTGACGAAGATTGGCGTGGCCGGGCGCGTCGGCGTTCCCAGGTGCCCATTGCCTGCTGGGAGCGCCTGGTCTTTGTCACGTGACGTGGGAAGCGCGGTGGAACCTCCTGGCTCACTGGAAAGGGGAGCGAGTCAGCCCTGTGAGAGAAGCCGCGCGCCCAGGCCTGAGAGTTAATCTCGTCGCGGGAAACAGCAGACAAACCCAGCCTGAGGGGTAACCGCCCCCAAAATGCCTGTCGTGCGAGACGGAGAACCTGGGCGCGGTCGCACATTAAAAGAGACAAAGTGGGGCCCTCCCTGGTGGCGCAGCGGGTTACAGCACAGCGCTGAGACGCTAAAGCCGCTTCCGCATGAGTTCGATTCCCGCCTGCCCCGGAGGTGACCACATGGCGCGGCAGACCTCTCCTGACCCGCCCGCTGCTCCCCTCAGCAGTGTACTTCGTCGATCTGCCTGTTCTGCTCCCCACTCTGTCTCTGGCGAAGCCTCTCGCCGCCCCTGAGCCTCTGGCCTGTTCCCCAGTTCTGTATGCACAAACAAATAAAATCTTAAAAAAAAAAAAAAGAGACAAAGCACGCGGCCAGGCCGTTAAATGCAGCCCAGGGCCTGGGCTGGGCAACACTGAGACAACTAGCCGCACTGGGCTGCTAAGTTGTGTCGCTGTAACAGTTACTGATTCCTCCTGCCCCTGTTGTAGGTCTTGCACCAGGCCGCGCTTGCTGGGACGAACACGCAGACACCTGCAGCTCGCTCGCAGGTGGTTTTCAGAACTGCGGCCAGGCGTGCGCACTTACAGAGGGCAGAGATGTGCCCTGGGCGAAGGGCACATGGGAGTGCTTGGGACCTTGCTGCTTTTCTGTAGGTTGGATTTTCTTTTCTTTTTCTTTTTAACAGAAATAGCTTTTCTTTTCTCAAACATTTTAATCATTCGACAGATAATGTGTGCGTTATAAACACTTCAACCAGTATAGCACTGGACAAGGACAGAAGTGAACAGCACCACAACTCGAGCCCCAGAGGTAATCACTGTCAACACAGCAGCCTTGTCAGTCACCTCTCAGCCCAGCGCGCTCCGGCTCTACCTGCAAGCCAGTCAAATACGTTGTCAGTCAGGTCCTTTCACACAGTTGACCTTTGCAGCCACAGTGAACATGGGCTTCCGTACCACCCTCCCCAGCCTGGAGGCGTCCTGTACTGCTCAGTAGAATGAGTCTCCTGCCTCTGGACCTCCCCAGTAAGCTGCAGTGCCCCCTCCCCGCCCCCAGCTGGTCTGAGCTCAGAACCAGTTGCTAGTATCTTGGCAGCTTCGTCCTCCACCTGGGAAAGCCCAGGGCAGGTCCTGGGTCCAGCTTGGCAAGCATCCGCTGGCACTGGCCAATCACAGGCACTTCAGGTTTCTCTTATGAAAACTGCTTTCCAGCCAGGGCCACCAGATATTTGCTTAACGTGAATCATTGTCCCAGAGGCCGAGACACTGCCTGTGAAGCCTGATGCTTCCGGCATGGATTCCGGCTAGGACTGACAAGCTCAGACTGGGTTTTCTTCCAGCTGATCCTCAGAGTCCTGTTTCCAGTTATACTCCCAGAGACTTTTCTTGGATCTCTGCCAGAGAGCCCCCTGAAAGGGAACAGGAAGGTGGGCATCTTGGCGGGGGGGGGGGGGGGCCCCTCTTCCTCACTAGTGGATGGATTGTAGGTTTTGGGACTGGGAGGAAATTCGTCAAAATTGAAGGGTCTTCAGGGGCCAGGAGGTTATAGGAGATAGTGAGGGTTTGTAGAGGACTTGAAAGGTGTTTTGCTTAAAGGTGTTTTGCTTAAAGATGCTCAGGGTCACAAGCTCAGCCTGTAGCACTTTGTTACTCTTAAGTCTAGATCAAATCAATTCCCTTTAAAATTGCCTGGTTGTGAGCCTCCCTGCTGGTGCAAGATTTAAGTCTCAGCATTATCAAGCTATCATCACTAGCCACTGTGACATGGGTTTGTGCCAGGCCAGCGAGGGACCCACAGGGCACAGCAGACCTCTCCTGTTTCCCCACTGCTCCCCTCAACCATCTATCTCAGTAGACTGGCCTGTTCTACTGCCCACTCTGTCTGGTGAATCCTCTCATCTCCCCCCCAGACTTCTGGCCTACACCCTGGTTCTTGTATGCATAAATAAATCGTTTTTGTTTTTGTTTTTTTTTAAAGGGGTGCTTATTGAGGTTTAAAAAGGAAGGGGGGGTTTGCCAAAGGGTACACTGTGAGTCAGGGGAGTCTAGAATCACCAACAAGTGTCTTCTCTTCTTCCTTTCCTTTCTCCAACTTTTTTAAAATTGAAGTGACCAGAAATTATAACATTATGTAAGTTTCCTGGGCTTTGCAGTTAGAAATCAACCTTTTTATTTTTTCAACTTATCATGCGAGCTCGTGTTTGCCTCTCAAGAAGTGGAACCAGTGCCACTGAGAGGTGGCTGTAGGACTCCTTTCCTCATGGCAACAGATGAACTGAAGTCCAGAGAGGTCAGATGACCTGCCCAAGTCACAGCAATTTAGACAGGTCAAGTAGATGCCGATGCAAGCAAAGCAAGTCATTCTGTGAGTGTGAGGTGAGTATGGAGGGATAAAAGGAAGTGAAATGTTCCAGACCTCTGGTGTGTAGTCTGTTTGTTTTTAGAGAATGTTTCGAGAGAAAAGCAGGCTGCCAGTGCTTACTTTGGTTTACTTTAACTGAATGCTTTAAGTTCCGTGTGGTGCCTGAAAACAAACTTAAATTCCAATTGTAAATGGAATAAATAACAGCATGCTGCTTTCCTGAAGAGTTACCAAGGCTGCAGAATTGCCATTTAATCCTACCAAAATCAAATGCCTGAAGTATGTCAAATATGTGAGGAATGTGAAGCGAAATTCCAAGATCCAACTGGCCCTCCCCTTGGGTCCCTGGAAGGAGATGGGTGCTGTCCTACCCACACTGCAAGGGAGCCTGCCCCCCCCATCCTCAGTGTCCCCACCTCTGGGTGGGGATTGCTGCATCATTTGTTAGTGTAACTAATCCCAGCCTGGGTTCAAGCCAGGTCTCCCATCAGAACCCACTTTTATTTAAATCTGGATGAACAGCTGTAATAAAAACAATTCATTCATTCACTCTGCAAATAGTTCTCAAACACCTACTGTGTACTAAGTAGCACTTTGCAGTTCCTGCAAATCCTGATAATCAGAGAGGTTAAATTCAGGCCTAACATTTAGGGAGGGTATTTTAGTACCAAATGCTTTGGTAGAGCCTATTCTCTCAATAATTCTCTTGTTCCAAATGGGGGGGGGCATTTTAAAATGAAAACTGAAAGCAGCATTTAAAAATTAGGATAGGGCCCTTCCTGGTGGTGCAGCAGGTTAAAGCACAGCACTATGAAGCTAACCGAAGCTGCTTCCGCACAAGTTTGATCTCCATCCGGGAGGTGACCCACATGGCCCGGCAGACCTCTCCTGTCTTGCCCGCTGCTCCCCTCAGCAGTGTGCTTCGTCAG